CAGGGCATAAGCGCTTGAATACGAACGACTGCCAGTTAAGGTTTTCCGCCTCTACCGGCCATCGCTCTCGCGAGGCGTGCTCATGCCTGTACATTGATCCTCGGCCAACATAGATTGACAAATATAAAGAATATAGAATGTCAAGTGTAATTGGATGTCAGCCAAAAATTGAAATGATTTTGAAGAGATCGCTCATTCACCGCCAATCCCAATTGCGGGAGCTCTTCCACGGGCGCTGATCATCACACCACCACGAGTCCCAGGATTGGCCCTAGCTTCCCCAATGCGATTGGTTCCATTGCCGATCTCGCCATTGACCACCGGTCTCCCGGAGCTGAGGAATGGGCTTGCGCGTCACTCCGACAACTGCGGGGAGAGGACAGGGATTTGGATGCCGGGGATCTCATCCTCAACGAAACAAAGCAATTCGACCAGGACAGCTTCGGGATCCCCAACCGATGAGAAATCCCGGCTCCAGCCCATCACCGGGTAGCGGTTGCTCTTGTCAAGGCTCCCGTACAACGCGGCAAATTGCTCGGTCTCCAGAAATCTACCTCCATGCACAACGTACACGTCCTTGGGGTCGATCTCCTTGACGTCCTCGCTTGGCGGCACCAGCGTTAGCCGTGCGAAATACTTCGGCATAGCAACACTTCCTTGAATCATTTCCTTTGTTCGTTCGAAACTCGGAATGATGCATCGTGCGACCTTCTCGATGAACTCGAGAGCAGAGGGCGTCAGGTCTCCCCGCGCGGCAGTGTAGGCGTAAAAGGGGTCGTTGATCAGCCTCTCATACAAGGTATTGTACTCCTTGTTGCGAAGGACGGCTTTCTTTGCAATGTCCTTCATGATCCCAAGTCCCCCTCTCGCGCTCCGATCCCCCCTTGCATCTTTTCGCTGCGTCAAGATCTGGGTCTCAACCTGGTCCATCAGAAGCGGCAAGCCCAAACTGTTGGCCATCTCTTGCAATCGGACGACTCTTGCGATCTTTTTGATGTCGGGCATGCGCTCGATGAGGTTGTCGCATTGATAGCAATTGATTGTGCCCTCAGGGATCATGATTTTGCAGCGTGAGCATTCGACATCGGGGATGCGCGTGACCTCCGCGAAGCGCCAGTTGGTCGACTTCTTCTTGTTGGGGTCCAGGTCCTGCCAAAGTCCGCTTCGGCTACGGGTCTCCCCGGGCTGCTGCTTTACCGCACGAGCCCAGTTCCTGTAAAGACCATACCGAGCAGTCTCAAATTCAAGGGCGACCTGTTCCTCCTTGGAGAGGCTCTCGTCCTAGACGTCCCTGACCTTGGTCACGTTTCCGATCCGGTGAGGCCTCATCATGTCGCGGCAAGCGGTCGGGGCCCACTGCTTGTAGTAGAGTTTGCAATAAACGACTCGAGCACCGGGGTCCCGATCACGCCATTCTGAGTCTCCTCACGGTACTTCTTGATGCTGTCCTGGTAGTTCCTTCTGACGCTGACGTACATGCGATTGGACCAGATGTACCTCGCGCACTCAGCATCATAGACATAAATGATCACCTTGTTCGTGATCCAATCCTCGGTCACAAGGGCTTCCCCGTCTCCGGGCGCGTAAAGCCGACAGCCCAATTGGATCAGCATCTCGACATCGACGGCGATGTTGATCCGCGCGCCCCCCGCCTTCCGGCCGTGCCTGTCCCAAGGAGGCACTACCGTTAGGTAGGCGTGACCACGTGAGGATTGCTTGTCGCCCATTCCACCAGGGAAGATGCCCATGTAAATGATGTCAAAGAAATTCTGCATGTTGCACGTATGGTAGGCGATTTTGGGCAGCGCCTTTCGGCGTGCGTCCGTGAAATCTTTGCAGAAGCCCGGTCGCACCCCTTCCTTTGCGTGCTCAATGGTGTAATTGACATCCATGGCAATGGGTTCCCCAGGGATATTGTCGAAGCCACTTGCCTCGGTAACCCAGTCGTTGTGCCCGGTGAACGCTCGGATTCGCAGCGGCATGAAACTGAGTCCGTTCCACTGTTGTCCGGCCGGAGCGTACTCCACATAGACCTCGCACCTGGTTGACGTGCTCGCGGCCTGCAGCAGGGTGTACTGGGAACAGCTCCAGTCATACCGGCGTTGGATCCATTTGGCAACGGCTGCGTAATCGAAGGAATTGTCCTTGAGATTGATCTCAGGGATGGATCGTGTCGCATTTTCATGTGCGTGTCCACGAACCAAATATGAGATCTTTTTGCTCAAGAAGGTTCTTCTGCCATAGTTCTGAATCTGGGGAATCTTGATTCCTGAGCATTTGATCCACTCCCTCTTTGGTTCCGTTGCCTGGCCACGGGTCTCCCCGGGCTTTCCAGCAGCTTTGGGGACTGCCTTCGCCTTGGGGATGATCTCCGGGCCACGGATCTCTCCGGGCTGAGCCTTGCTACTTCCAGCCACGGACGCCTGATCACTGGACGAGGCAGCCTGCTTCGGCATGGCTTTTGCCTTCATCTTCGGTGTTGCAGCACCGGCGGATGGGGTCATCTTGTTGTGACTTTTCCGCTTGGAGGTGAGGATGAGCTTGATTTGTCCGTCCTCACCAACATCATTCGGATCAACTGCGGCAACCTCAACGGCCTGGCCTTTCGGCCGGCTGACCTTTGGCTGATAGCCAGGAGGAAGGTCGAAGCTGATCACCTGATCCTCCTCGTCCGAAGAGGAAGACCAATCGATCACATCGTTGAGGCCGATGACGGCCACCGCGTGAATGTCAGGTTGCATCATATGCAAGATCTTTGCTTCCTCCTTGACGGTGTCAAGGGGGTAGAGGGGGTTTGCCTCCTGTTCGGCCTTCAGGAAGACCTCGCGCTTCGGCTCTTGCGCGGCGATCTGGTTGACCGCCTCCAGCTCCCTTTCCCGGACCTCGTTGTCGAATGGGTCCTCGGGGATGCCGGACCGCCAGTTTCCTGGGGTGATGCGCCAACGATCGGGATTGAAGTATCGATGTCCAAATACTCCCTCTCGAGGCGAAACCAGTTCATTGCAGTCTCAAACCTTGTGATCTGACCGATGGAGTAACCGAGCTTGGCAGCAGCTACAAAATAATTAATGTAGTTTTTCCTGTTGCGCTCATTGTCATCCATGAGGATCTAGCACTGTGATGCCTGCGGATGAAGGAGTCGAGAGCGCCCGTCCATCTGGACTTTGTATGACTCGCTCAGCCCGTAGGTCTCGAAGTCTCTCGGCACGATGAGGACGACCTGGATTACATCATCCCTGAATGCAATGTGACGAAGTCGATCACGAACTGTCA